GGGACAGGCCGGGAGAGGGACAGGCCGGGAGAGGGACAGGCCCTCGTCGTTCCCGGTGCTGTGGGCGCCGTGGGGGAGGAGCGTTAGCCGGGGGCGGGAAGCTTCCGTCTGCCGGGGGCCACGGGGGCGTTTATAACACCCTTCGAGGGCCACACGTGCTGACCAGCTTAAACACCAGCCGCTGTATTTGGTCAAACATGTGCTTTTGTTGTGACGAATCCTCACCTGAGCATTTTTTCCCATCGATTGTGAGAGAGACAGTGGAAGGGACGCAGGGGGGAGAGAGAGAGAGAGAGAGAAACATCGATGGGTTGCCTCCCGCACACAGCCTGACAGGGGCCAGAGAATTAGCTAGAGAGAGTGGAAGGGAGGGAGAGAGACAATGAGAGAGAAACATTGATGTGAAAGAGACACATCGATGGGTTGCCTCCCGCACACACCCTGACAGGGGCCAGGGAATTAGTGGGCAGCCCAGGCATGCGCCCTGAGCGGGAATCGAACCCTGACCTCCTGGTTCATAGGCTGATGCTCAACCACTGAGCCACACCGGCCGGTCAAACATTTCATTAACTCACCCCTAATGGCTTGGGAGGGCCTTGTACAGCCCGAGGGCCGGAGGGTCCCCACCCCTGCTCTAGAGTGGGTGGAGGGGGGCCAGGGAGCTGGGACAGGCCCATCCGGAGCGGGACAGGGACAGGGAGGGGGTTCGGCGGGTGTCCCGGGAGCCCGGGGCCAGGCCCTCACTGCGTGTTGCCGCAGGTCACGGGGATCCCCATGAACTGCTCGGTGAAGCTGCAGCTCAGCCTGTACATCAAGGCCGTGCAAGGCATCGGGTGAGTGGGACGGGGTCTGCGGGAGGGGCGGCCCCTGGGTGTGGAATTTTCCTGCCATGTATCTGACCATTTAACGGTGGTCGTATCCTACTTCCTCCACCAACTAAAATGAAATGAAGCCACTGACGTTGTAGTTACTGCTGGTCAGGGGCCTTGTCTGAATTTCCCGCTGAGGTGGGTGCCTGGCGCCCAGCGAGGGGCAGAAACAAAACCTGGGCAAAACCAAGTGTGTGACAACGGAACCACCAGACAGCGTTCTCTGCTGTGGCAGTTCACTTTGTGGGGGGGATTTTTTTAAGCACTGATTTTGTTTTCATTTTTTTTAAAAAAAATTTTTATTGGTTTCAGACAAGGAAGGGAGAGGACAGAGAGAGATAGAAACGTCAGTGAGGAGAGAGAATCATGGACCGGCCGCCTCCTGCACGCCCCACACTGGGGATCGAGCCCACAACCCGGGCCCGTGCCCTGACCGGGAATCGAACCCTGACCTCCTGGTTCATAGGCCGACGCTCACCACTGAGCCTCGCCGGCCGGGCCTAGGATGTTTTTTCCATTGATTTTTAGAGAGAAAGCAAGGGAGGGAGGGAGGAGAGAGAGAAACATCGATGTGAGACACACTGAGTGTCTGCCTCCCGCATGTCCCCCCCCCCTCCCACCGGGGCGGGAATTAACCTGCAACCTGCCAGGCGAGTGCCCTTGAGCGGGACTGGAACCCGAGACCCTTCAGGGCCTCCCTGGGCTTTTCATTGGCCCAAATGGGTGCTGCTCAGAGTTCAACC